ACTGACTCAAAACTTTAATTTCAGGTAAAAACATGTATTTAGGCACACAATCACTTACCATGTTGTAAAAATAAAGTTGCACTTTATTGATCCCCGTAGGGCAATTCATCCTCTGCGTTTGATCCATCCTGATACCGCTAAGGCTTACGCCAGGAGCAGTGGTCGCCGTAGTAACAGCGCCCGGGAAACCATCCCCAGATGTTGATGTTCGGCTTGGTCAGGACTTCCTGCTGGAGGATTTAACCTGGTGTGCATGTTTTTAGTGGTGGGGGAAATTGGAGTACCCAAAGGAAACCTACACAAGCATGGGGAGAACATGCAAACTCCACTCAGAAAGACCCCATTCCGACTGGGATTCGGGAGTTCTTGCTGAGAGGCGAGAGTGCTATCCACTCAGCCACCGTGTTCCTCAATACTAAAGTAAATACTAACGTTTTAATTTAATATGCAATATTCAATTAATTTCTTTTTTGTATAGCTCTAAATCACAACCTCGCGAAGGACTTCACAAAGTACAGCAGATTAGAGAATCAAGCAGTTCTGTGATGACCCTCGAAGCAACTGTTGTGGTGTTTGTGGGCGTTATGCAAAAATACATTGTTTTGATTAACTTAGATCAACGTAGATCTGTACACTGTTAACATCCATCGAGAAATCCAAACTGTGGAACTCACTGAACAGAAATGCATATGTGACTGCGTGCGCTTGTTTGTGTGCATGTCTGTAAGATGATGTTTTCATGAATTTTGTATCATTTGTATGTAGGAACTCGACCAGGGAGTGGGCAATTTGCATTTGCTACACACTCTATATGCATCACATCAGGCGTATCTCTGCTCTAACCAGAGTTCCGGCTTGGACCAAGACTATGGACTATAAATATAATAGTTTTGTATGTATTTATATTTATAGATCAAAACTTATTATCATTTACTCTGAATCACACTAGATTTTTGTATATTTATATATTGCAATAGTTTTCCCAGTCTAAATGGAGAAATAAAAGTCCAACATTCACTTGTATAATAGAAACACATTGTTACTATGGGAATACAATGCATGAACAAAACAATAGAAATACAAAACATGACCTGAATGAAATAGAATGCACCGATCATATTTCTATAGATGAACTGGAGAGAAGTCTTGGAGGAATAATGACAATTATGCATGGCTTTTATATCGTGCATTTATTGACACGCAAAGATGCTTCACTTGTCATTATTCGTTTACTTCATACACAGTGGTGTGGCTGCCCTGGGGCACACTCACAGAAGGGAGGCAACCAGTATGTGCCTCCAACCACCACCAACCATTCACGCACACACTATACTCATTCCAGGTAATGTGAGTGAAGTTTTGGCACTTTACATCCGCAGCTGCCGCACTGTGGCTGTCATGTGGTGAGATGATGGAGGACTCAAAATGCAGGAATGAAATTATATAAATGATTTAATAAAAGAAAAAAACAAAAGTCCAAGGAAACAAAACATCCAAAAACGAGACCAGGAACAAAGGCACGAACAAAGACAACACAATGGACCAGCAACAAGAGGAGGGGAGCACAGGGTACATATAGACATAGGTGAAACACATTAGGGCGGGGCAGACAATCAAGACAGGGGGAAACAGGACGTCAAATTCAAACTAAAACCAAAGCACGGAGAACAGATATCAAAATAAAACTGAAGTCCATAATAACAAAATCCACACCGTGACAGTGGCCCTCTGCTGTTCCCAGTAGTCTCCCATCACACCACTAACAAGGCCCTGTCCAACTTAGCTTCAGAGGACTGATGCAGGTGGTGCCAGTTCCATAGATAAGCTGGACATACATGTAATAATGTAAATCCACATTATGTATGGGGTTCCAATGTCACCATTATTCTAAATCATTATTATTGTCTGCTTCAAATCATTTTCATTTTTTTTTCCACGTCAGAGATTCAGTTCAGCCCTAGCTGATTGTTGTTGTCCTGATGGATTTCATGCCACTAATGACCGTGAACACAATCAAATCCTGCAGCTTCAAAATAACAAGATGCCATTAAGTATTGATATACAAGGTAGTCAAATGGACTGGAAAGGAGTGCTCCTGTTTTCCTAAATTGTAAGTTACAGCAGAAAAATCCATCTAAATTGTGGCAAATGTGATTTTTATTTCCCTCAAAGTCATTAGAATTTGACACAGACACAGGCACTGGCTTCTTTATGCCACCTGTGCATTTAGCTAAATATGCTAAATCTATACACGTTCAATAGGAAGAAGTCATCTCATGCGTAGGAGGTTTGTAATTGGTTGTTTTTCCTGCTCTCTAGATTCCCCAAAGTAAAATATTAGTATGCATCTTAGTGTAGTGGAATAATTAGAAAGATGTCGTGCACACCCACACACACAGCACTGTTCTGATTTTTTTGGTTAATTCAATTCTAGGCCGAAATAATAACACAAACGGACAAACCATACAGTATATATGAAACCTCAAATAAACAAGGTGCATGGAATAAAAACTTTTAGATAAATGGGAAAATGGCTTGCTCGTGTGTCTGCTATGGACGCATTGACTATAGACACATTTGATTCAGATGGCGGCAAGATGGATTGGTGACTTTCTGGGCCGAGGCTTATTAGTACTCTCTGAACGCCCTGAGCTATTATATGCAACACAAAGCACCCGCTGATTTCAAAAGTCTTTTTAAGGGACACCTTTGTATCTGGGTGAGTAACTGTAGCTGAATCCATAATTGAGAGAGCCATGACAATATGGCCAAATTGTGTGAAAGCATAAAAACATGATAAGAAGGGCAGAGGAGAGCAGAGACACACAGATGCATGCAGATATCATATTGAGGCTGCCACTAGATGGAGGTAATGGGTTTGGCAGATTGTGGCAGCTTATATGTTTGCTTATATGATATTTCTTCATAAATAAATAACTGTAAGCAACACTGATACTGACAAACACACATAATACATGCACTAGAATCATGTTTTATCAGCAGGAACAAAGGGTATATGTGAAACCATAAAAAAAACTTCAATTTCTAATAAAAAAGTGATTGATCTCACGTGTTGAAGCTTTCATATTACAGCTGTGCTTTTGTGCTAATTTCACAGACTGATAATTTGTCACTTGAAACTGTTTTAGTCGATCGATTTCACAGTGACATTTGTTTACTGTTTTATTTTTGTCTTTTAATGTTGTTTTATGTCTGTATTTGTCTGTGCACACTAGAGACTTTTTGCTAATGTATTCCAATGTGGTTCTTTTACTGCAAATAAACTGAATCTGAATCTGACGTTGCCATGTATTAGTGTTTTTTTTTCCATTTCACATTATCCAAATGCATGTGTTATGACGAGTGCTGTATTTGTCAAAACTGCATCTATTTTATAAGGGATTTCAATCAATGAAAGTCATGGGCCTACTCAGCTGCAAGCCAACACTTATTTACAGAATGCTTAAATAGCAGTGGGAAGCTGGAAATAGGGATGTCCAGTCCAGCCAAATTCTACTTCATCATTCTAACCACTAGTCACCAAGTAAGAGTGAAAAAGCCTCATTGCTACAGGCCCGACCCCGTGGTTCTGAGGGAGATCTAGCCACCCAAAGTCCACCACTGCTCTGTCATTACCCAGTCAGGGAGATTGGAGTTCATGACCGATCCTTCCAGAGCTCCACCTGTACCTGGTTGATTTGTTTGAGGACCCCTGTGCCCCATGATGTCAAGAGGGTGACCATTCTGTCTAAGGACGTCCAGCTGGCCTGACACATCCGCTGAGAGAGGACCTCATCACCACCTGAATGCAAGTTAGCTCATGAACACTGTTGACTGAAGGTTTAATCCAGAGTTACAGTGTTTTCAAAACTATAACCCGCACCTGATGAGAAAGAAATTCAATGTTGTTTTGGTACAAGCCGCACCGGGTTATGAAACAAAACAATCCCATGTTGTAATATTGAATGAAAAGCTAAAAAACATTAATCATGTCTTACTGTACATGTATAAACCGGGGGTGAAAGCTGCGGCTTATAGTCCGGAATTTACGGTATACAGTACGTTTATATATATTATGATTTTACATTAATGTGTCTGTATCAGCTTCAGAATGCATCTTTATGGGATGAACACAGAAAGGTTTATATTTCTCCTATTCCTTCAGAACATCATGTACTGCGTGTACTCTTTGTCAATATATGTATATGCATTATACATACAAGTATCTTGCATGTGTTTAAACAGATTCTCAAATAAATAAATACATAAAATAAAGTGTCTTTCCATCTTTCTGTCTGTCTGTCCATCTATATCCATCCATCCTTCCATAGATCCATACATCTATCGGGCAGTGGTTTCCGCTTGTACTTCACAGCAAGAAGGTCCTGAGTTTGATCCCACCTCCAGGCCTTTTTGAGTTGAGTTTTAGCACGTAGGTTATCTCCAGGTGCACCAATATCCCCACTAAGAACATGTACGATAGATCTGATATGCTTACTGACTTACTTACTTTATATTTATCTCTGTGTCTCTTTATCTAATCATACTAGTATTGCTGGAGAATTGACGACTTATCAACCACTCTACCCACAAGAAGATGTGGCCTTTGGGCCTGAAGGTCGTGGGTTCAATCTACTTCACGACTCTCACTGATGTCTGCTGACAATTAACCCCACTTTGCCTGAACTCTGAATTCTAATGTGCATGCAATTAATGAATACACTATGTCTGTTATAAGTAGTCTACATTCACTTCCCTCTTGTACTTCATGAAACTCACGTCTTGCAATACAGAAGGTGGCAAATCTGTCGCTATCTGAGAATCACACATTTCAAAAGCTGCAGACAATCTGTAGAATAAAACTCATTTGAATATGTCATGATTGCAATAATTCTCTCCTCATTCATTCCAGGTCGCAGGTTTGACAGGTGCTCTGGTATTATGCGTGGCACCTGTAGCTCTTGTCTCGTACATGGAGCGATAATGAACACAACCTCAGCATGCACCGCTCTTCAATGGCTGCCGTCACAAAGGCGCCGCGGTCGGTGCAGCGGCGGCGGCGGCAGGAGGAGCTGGAAGACAGTCAGTCAGGTGCTGCGCTCTCATTTTAGCGCATGCACGTAGCACACCGAGGCTCAGTTGGGACCAGGTTGGAGTCTTTGTTTTGCTTTCAACCCTCTTTGATATCTCTCGCTGCGAAGGTGGGGAAGGGGGGCAGGAGTTTGCAAGTGGGAGATAAAAGAATGAAAAAAAATTAAAGAGGAAGAGGAGGAGAGGAAATGTGGTGGGTGCAGAGGCTAGGTGAGTGTCAAACAGTTCACCTCCTGCGTTTGGCTCCTGGATCAGACTCGGGGAGACGGGTTTATCAGACGAGATTTGGAAGTCACTGCTTGGATTTTCAACTCAAGCAAAAATAATCAAATTACACAAAATATAATTATTTAATGTTTGCAGTTGTTTGAGATGTCTAACCAACCCTACTTACTTACTCAAACTATTTAGATGTTTCTAAATAATTTGAGTAAGTAAGTACCTTGGTTTTCCCTTTCAGTCTGGGTACCTTGTTCAGGGAAAGGTGGAAAAGATGTAGAGTTTTATTTTTAACAATATCTTTTTTATTAGTTTCTTATACTGGGTTTCACTTCTCTTCCAAATTTGCTAAACTGTGTGCTCGAAACCCTTTCAATCTATATAATACACCTAAGAAAAACGTAAGTGTGCACTTTATCGTCCCCATAGGGAAATTTATCCTCTGCATTTGACCCATCCTGATGCCACCAAGGCTTTTGTCAAGAGCAGTGGTCGCCATAGCAACAGAGCCCAGATGTTGATGCTCGGCTTGGTCAGGACTACCAGCTGGAAGATTTTACCTACTGTGTATGATTTTAGTAGTAGGGGAAACCGGAGCACCCAGAGGAAAAATACACATACACGGGGAGAACATGCAAACTCCAACCCTGTTTCGACCGGGATTCAAACCCAGGATCTTTTTGCTGAGAAGCAGGAGTGCTATCCACTCAGCCACCTATTAGATATTAATTATTTTGCGTCTATGTATTTGTTGTTGTTGACTGAACACACAAAGAAATGAATAAACTAACCACTAACAATATATGGTTCATTATGATCAGAGGAAACTTACATTTTCACTCTCCGCTCTCGTTTTATTTCACCTCAGGTCATAAATGTGTGTAATTATCCAACAGATTGTGCTCAAAGTGACATCTTTGCTCTTTCAACTTCTTAAGAAACAAACTTAAACTACGACTATACGGTGGCTGAGTGGATAGCACTCTCGCCTCTCAGCAAGAAGGTCCTGGGTTCGAATCCCGGTTGGACCAGGGCCTTTCTGAGTGGAGTTTGCATGTTCTCCCCGTGTCTGCGTAGGTTTCCTCCGGGTGCTCCGGTTTCCCCTACCACTAAAAATATGTACAATAGGTCTGGCGTGCGCCTCGTGTACTGGCGACCCCCACTCCCAAAAATAACAATTGTAAACCGCTTTGAGACTCCGATGTGCAGTGAAAAGGCGGTATATAAATAAAGATTACTACTACTACTACTACTACTATAGAAAACATTGACACTGATACGGTATAGTTGTCAGGTCTCTGAGCGTTGGTGGAAATAATTAGTCACAATCATTTTCGTATCGTGTTTTGGATTTGGTTTTCCTTAGTCAGTGCAGAAACCCACTGATCCTTGTTGCGTTGACATTATGAAAGATGCAGGGTTCATATCACGCATGTATCCAGTGAAGCCTCCTCTCACAGTGACCTTCAAAGCTCCTGACACACGATCCCGTTGTTCTGTGTGGATTGTATGTCGGTCCGTCACCCCGTGTGCTTCTGTAATTGTTCTGCTCATTTCTTGCTCCCGTGTTTCGCAAATAATTACATTAGAGATTACACGTGAGCTCCTTTACCCTTTGTACTTTGGGAGGGGGTGAGCAGCGTCCCTGATGGAGAGCAGTTTGTCAGTGTCTTCCTGTCCCCAAACGGTGACAAATGTCCCACAGCTGATCACATGACCGGCTTTACGGATCAGGTCGTCGATAGCACTAATGTCCCTTTTTGTGCTGGTGCTCGGTCCTTCAACGGCAGATTGCAGGTCACTGGAGAGTAGAAGACCCAAGCTTTATTTGAGGCTCTATGGGGCGTTTCAAGCTGGATAAACTAGCACGCTTCTAACACTTCTTATGATTGACTTGAAATAGATCTGAAATGTGAAGTGGCGGTTTATTAACACTTGGACTGGAAGAATTCTGAATTTACCAGAACTCCCAGAGCCATTGTTTTGACTGCTTCCATTCAAACCAATGAAATTCTGACAAATTCATACGGATTTAAATTATTTTTATGTTCTTTAATAAGTAATGTATATGCATTTTTACTTTTTGCCCTAAAACCGGTTATTATAACTTTCAGTTTGTTAAAAGGCTAATGCTAAAGACCAAATGCTAACTGCTGCAAGTAAACAGTGTGTTTTGTTATAGTTAATAGATTGTGTGATTCTGTCTTGTTTTTCCCCATTTGTTTTTGTGTTCCATGGACCTATTTTTGTGTCTGAGTTAAAGATTAAATAAAACAATATAACTAACTCTTCTCTGGTGGAAAAACAAGCTGACCCGGCTCAGAACCAGGACCCCTCAAGGAACAGTTCAGAGCCAGTCCAGGACCAGCACCATAAATGGGGGGGAATTAACTGACAAATTAAAGACAATTTCATGAAAATAATGATATAGAAATAAACTACATATAGAGACAGAAACGGTCAGGATGTTATGAACAGCAAAAAAGTACATACATTGAGTGAGTACAATCTTAATGTGACTGACACATTAGGATGACAACAAAGTATAGATAACCCTACCTTACCTAGAAGTTACAAATATATGGTAACAAAGGAATTCTAAATATTTTTTTTTCATTCTTCAATTTGACGTAACCAATGTATTTGTGCAGTGTGTCCTTTGTCGTATATATATTAATGTTGTATTCTATAATTTCTGTTTAATTTTTTTTTTCTTTTAAAGCCGTCAATTGTGTCCATCACAATGTATTATTTGATTCTTGTTTGATTGCATTAAGTTTTCTGCTTTTGTTTTGTTTTCTCATTTTGAAACGTCCAAAATAAAAACATTCATTCATTCATTAATTCATTCATTTTGGTATTTAGTGTCATCATGTCAATTTCTACCCCTTTACTAATCCATTTCTGGGTCGGGGGGGGGGGGGGGGGGGGTGGCAATCAGAGCTGCCACCAAAAGTCTTAAAGCCCCAGTCCCTCGCTGATCTTCTGCAGGTGGTGGGTCCACAGGATGATGGCTTCTCCGTGATCCAAGACATGGCCTTGGTCCTTCAGGGGGGGCTTCAGTCAATGTGGGGTTAAGTGTGTCATGGGTCGTGGTGGGCCGGTGCTCTACCAACTGAGCAATTGTCGCCCCAAATTGGTATTGGTATTTAGTGAAAAGAACAAAATGGAAATAGCCCATACAGAGCATGCATTAGGCCGATCTAGTTTAACCGTTACTAAATGCGAATAAGATAAACCTATATTTGTCCCTAAATGGAAATGTCGATGTGATTCAGCAGAATAGAAGTAGAAATAAGAGCACTCAGGTTAAGCACACATCAAACAAGATCTATTACTGTATGTAAGATATTAGACAATACAATAATAAACTCTGGAAGATACATTGTAGTCTGTAGCAGTCTTCAGGTCTCACATTTACAGATAGTTGGTATTTAACTTTAAACTGTGCGTGTTAATTTCATGGTAAGACTCTGGCTCTTGGCTATTTTATTTAGGTGAGGAGGATTATAGAAAAAGTTTCTGAAATTTTGTGAAATTGAGAATGGGGTTTTGACACTAGAACTCTGAGGCAGTTAATTTGGCGGTTTGTAATTTGTTTTTGTTTTTTGCTAAATAAATCAATAAATACATACATAAATAAATATGCACTGTTACATAAATTAACAAATACATGAATTAATTATTAAATAAATAAAAATGTAATACATCAATAATACAATAAATACATCATACATAGAAAATATATAAATAACTAAATAAATACATCAATTAATAAATATACACATAGATAAAGATGGTGCTATGGCAAGAGCTCTGGTGTACACGTGGTAGTCTTGCACAGGTTTTCCAATGTAGTTTTACTGCAAATGGAAAATAAATTATTGTATCTTGTATCTAAATAAATTGATAAATAAATGACAATTAAAAAAACAATAATAAAATAAATACATACATAAATAACTCAATAAATACATACATTTATAAATATACATATCATTCCATAAATCAATAAATAAAAAAATACATATTAGAATACATAACTAAAGACACACATAAATAAGAATATGACTTGATAAACAATAGTATTTCTACTGTAGAATCATCAGAACAGAAAAGAATGGGGGTATAGCAGTATTTCGCTTCTGTTGACCTCTATATTGTCTTTCGTATGTGGCAGTGCGTCTCCCCGGGCACTCGTCTTCCCACAGCGGTCCGATCCGAGCACCAGATGGACCCCGACGTGGATGTCTTGGCCAAGCAGAGCGTTATCCGACCACCCGCCCCGCCTGACATAAGCCGTGTGTGGGGTAAGAGCATTAGGAGGCAGGGGGTCCTCCGGGACTATGGAGACACTTCAGTAATAAACGAGTGAGGAGGAGACAGATACACCTGTTCAACGTCGGCTGATAGACAGACTGAGAGGAGAGGAGAGGAGAAGAGAGGAGAGGAGAGGAGAGGAGAGGCGGAGGATGGAGGGAAGAAGATGAGAAAGATATGAGCTGCAGTATTACAGAGAGATGTAAGATGTCAGCCCATTTGGAGGTGTGTGTTAGAGCAAGAAGTTCCTGGGTTCGATTCCACCTCCAGATCTTTCTGTGGGCGACACGGTGGCTTCGTGGTTAGCATTCTCGCTTCTCAGCAAGAAGGTCAAGGGTTCGGTTTCCTCTGGGTGCTCCGGTTTCCTTGACCTCTAAAAACATAACAGAAATGTAATGAGTGAAAGAATGGATGGTGTTGGTTGGGGTTTTGACGCACCAGTGTGTTTGACGTCTATCTTCCGTCATCACCGTGTGTGGAGTGAATGAAAGAATATCTGAACTCTGAACATTGTAGAAGAACTTTGTGCGACCTTGGTCTGTACAAAAATGTGCTGTACAAATACAAGCGTACTTACTGTATGGAGTTTTCATGTTCTCCCCGTGTCGGCGTATGTTTCCTCAGGGTGCTCCGGCTGCCCCTATCACTAAAAACATGTACAATAGGTCTGGCATGCACCTCCTGTATGGCGACCTCGCTCCCATCTCTTACAATTGTAAAGTGCTTTGTGACTCTGGTCTGTGAAAGGCGTCGTAACATACGACACCATGTGGAGATGAGGATGGTTCTAGATGAAATCACAAAGGGCGCATGGTGTGGAAGCAGGTAGCTTGTGTTGTCTGCCGCTACACGCATAACATACAGTACAGCATATATGTAGAGGGCTCTGAACCATGCACACAACTGCACTTTACTTTACCGGCGCTATATCATTAAAGATGACTTAGATACTTATACTTACTCACAGAGCAGTCAAAATGGCGGCTAAATTTGAGTTTTACATGACTGGAGCTGTCAAAATGATGGCTCTAATTAAAAGATCATTTACAGTAAGACACACAGATACAGAAAAAGTCACAACCTTATGAATGTACACGAGCTGAGTAATTTACCTTTCAAAACTAAAATCCGTCAAATTGACTGCTCAAGGAGTTCCAGTGGTAAAATATTTTTTTAAAGAGAATAATCTAAAACATGTCACACATGCACAAGAAAAATAACAGTTTTGGAGCATGAGGGATCAAAGACGGAGGTATTTGTCCATGCCAGTTAATCTAGCCACTTTTGTCAATGTATTCATGTTTTTTTTTTAATTTCCTCACGTTGCTGTACACTCTTCTATTCATAATTAAAACTTAAAAAGATGAGTTAAAGTCAGAGACGTGGATTCAAAGTCAAATAGCAGACAATTATAGTCGCTGTTTTGGGTCACCTATAAAATTAGTTTGTAATTTTGAGCAATCCTAACACTGCTCTTCTTCTGGATCTCCTGAAATAATGCAGTGACCCACATGATTGTACCTCCTCTGTAGAAGATCACTTTGACCCATTTTGGAGCAAAGTAGTCCACGTACTTATTTCTGCCTTTTATTTAAACCCAGGGCAAAACACAGGTGCACATGTACAGGAGAGACAGAGCCAACAAAGATTGTGTTGTTGTAACATGCAGGACTCAAGAGTATTCCTCTCCCAGATTTTATTTAGACGCAGATACAGCTCTTGATGAATGCATGTGGAGTGTTGTGTTTTCATCAAATACATTTAGAGGTTTGACCTGAAAAACATGTGAAAGACATACAGTATACTGATAATAAAAGAAGTTAAACAGAAAACATGGCGACAGGTTAATTCAGGTGAGTGACTTTGGACGATTGTGACTTGTGTGTGTTTGCATTAAAACAGTTATTTAACAGAGAGTGACACAACCTTGGGACACCTCCTGCATGTGAAAGCCGCAGGTGTGATTTCGTCAGACCTGTCAAGTGGTGAAACAAAGGAAGGAAATTCAAAATAATGTGATTTAGTGATAGTATGAATATATGGGTGTATTCTGTGTGTGGTGTTTGTGTAAATGTTGTTATTGTTTTACTTCACAATAACAAAACATCCTCTTGTTTTACTTTACTTCATTTATTTAGTTGTTTTGATTTTGTATTTTTTCACGTTCATATTTTTTCCCCCTCTCCCTTTTATGCTAAAGCCACAATAGATGTCAAACAAAAATCTCCAATCACCTCACTCGCATCTGTATGAGGCCCACTGCATTATGGGAAATGAAGTGCTGCTCACACATGGTTTGTAGTTCATGCAGGCAGTCCAGCCGATGCAGTTGTTGTTTTTTCTCGTCCTCAAGGCGGTCTAACCACAATGCACTGCAAACCATCTGTTCAATCAGCCGACCAGAACATGGCTTCTGAGGAAAGCGGTCAAAGCAAATGAAACTGTTAACTTTGATTGAATGAGTTACAGAGCCTTTATGATTGAGGCTTAAATCAAAGACGTTTGAATAGAATGGAGGAATGGGCCAAAATACCTGCAACAGTGTTTGAAAACCTTGTGAAGACTTACAGAAAACGTCGGACCTCTTCCACTGCGAACACAGAGTATGAGTCTTGAGATGGACTTCTGTTATTGACTAAATGCTGATTTTCCACCATCATTTGCAAATATATTCTTACAGACTGTGTGATTTTCTGGAGTTTAGCTTTCTTTTCTTTTTTTTCATGTTGTCTCTCTATGGGTAAAATGATAGGATATTCTCATCTTTTTAATCTTTTTTACTTTTGTCTGGTATAGAGAAAAAAAAATAGCTTCCTCTACTAAGAAGACAAGACGAACCTTGCTCAACCTAAGATTAATAAAACATTGTAAACGTGGGCTGGTATATTTGCTTCATTCACTGTTAATGGAATACAATGCGATATATATAAACTGCAGCTACTGAAGCTTGAGCAGTTGTTATTTGTCGCTGAAAGATCTATTTTATTTATACACATATAGTTCTCTCCGCTGTATATACTGCCCTATAAACAGATCAAGGCTAAGGCACAAGTGCAATCACAAAGCACCGTTCACAGAGGAGCAAACACGGGGGCAGGGGGCTCCACTGGCTTCCTTTATGTTCTTTTATGAAGGACACAGTATTCACACGGCAAGGACACGCTTCAGCGCAACATATGAAGGAATATCACCTAAAATCAATCTCACTGTGCATTTAGTGACAGCCTTTTATAAGACGTCGGAGTCAGAATATTTCAAAGTGGAACTGCACCTGGGTAGATTCCACACAGAAGTACAGCAGTGTGAGGTTATACTATAATCATTCACTGTAGAGGTTTGAGAATGATGGACCGTTGCCATAGAGATTTGACAACCATTTTAAACAAAGACTATATTTCTCCACCATAATTTGCAAGAAAAAGGTCTAAAAATCATACCGATGTGATTTTCTAGACTTTTTTTTTCATTCAGTCTCTATAGTTGAGGAGTACCTATGATGGAAATGACAGGCCTCCCTCATTTCTTTAAGTGGGAGAATTTTCACAACTGGTGGCTGACTAAATACTGTTTTTCCCACTGTATGTGCTGATAATAAGGGAATAAATATTCATTAAAAAAAACTTATCATGAAGAAGGAAGCTATGGCACTCCAGCCTTTGGCAACAGCTGCTCAAAAGAACACAGGTGGATTGATTTTCAAACATTTTTCTCTTTGTTGACATTCTTCATGGCTCGATAGTTTTTGCATTATTAACCTTGTTTCTCTTATATACTTACACAGCAACCATTGTCTAATAGCAAAACTATACCATGTTTCTTGTTATACAAGCCTGTACCAGAAATGCTGCCTCTCCATATTTAGTCCTGACTCTGGAAACCAGCAGGAGACCAGTCCAAATTTATCAAACACATTTCTTCTAAAAATATATTCAGTGTTTGTCACAACAGAAAGAGTCTTGAAGAAGTCTTTCCATGGACTTACACAGAGGTACATCTGTGACATGTTGGTGCCATATGAACCAACCTAGACTTTGAGGAGCAAAGGGACTGCCCTCCTGCTGGTGTCCAGAGTCAGGACAAGACATAAAGAGGCAGCATTTCAGATATATGCAGCAAAAATCAAAACAGTCTACTTGAAAATGTTATACCTCCGTCTGCAGTTTTCAAATACACAGTTCTGTTTAGCTGTGCATAAAACTGAACGACTTTATCTTTAGTCTTTTACTGCGCTGTGGCTAGTTATGCTTTTTATGCTCTGTTGGATTTTATTGGTATTTTTTAATTGTTATGATTTATACTAGATGTGATATGGGTTGGGAGGTGCTTTGTGTTGCCTTGTGCAAAAGGTGCTCTACAAATCAAAGTTGATTGATTGATTGATTAATAGAAGTAAAGTGTAGTGAACAAATCAGTCATTCTGACATGTTGTATTATGTATACTTTGTAAAAAATAATAATAATAAAGAGCTCTTTGATTGGATATTTGACACTTTGGATGACTGAGGGTGGTCCACACTTTTTTGTGAAGCTGTTGATCTGAAGATGCGACAGAACCAATATTTGGAGAGGAAACGAATTGAACTTTATTATCACTTTTTCTTTCAAAACTGATACTATAGTGCCACTATGTATCTAATAAAAAAAACATGTGTAGATGCATTGATACATTGCACTTTTCTTCCTTCAAGGGACACTCAAAAACATACCATTTGCTAACATAAAAGCAAAGCACGAAATGGTATAAACAGCTTCATAAATCCTCTTCAAGAAATTTCTCAAAAGCAAAAAGGGAAATTTTAGCTAAGTATGAGGTTTAAAATTCTCCTGGTCCTCTCTGTAGCCTCCCATACCTGACCTGGATTCTTTAGGGTCATTCGTAGCAACACCAAACCACTAAATGCTGTGACATTTTTGCAGAAAGCCATGCATAATTTGAACAACGAATAAATGAGTATTTCTCTACTTTGAAAAACCAAAGTATAGACTGGTGCAAGCTTTTGAACTTCACATCAAAATAGAGAAATACAAAAGTTCACATTTGATCAAAATCCTTCA